TAAAATGTTAAAGTGATTATATAAGAATTAGATGAGTCACTGTCAATAAAACAATTCGCGGAAGAGGAGTATTCAAAATATCGGTACTATTAATATGGGACTAATAAGATGACTGACGCCGTTCTCTATCGACAATTGATTTTATGTGCATTATTTATCTACAATTCTTATCTACAGTATATACACTAAAGAATATTTACACTCACAATTAAAAAAAAAAGTTACCAACAACGACATCTAAATAGCTGGGGGAAAAACAAATTATCAGCCTGCTCTCTGTTTGAATAGTGATCGTAATTGAACAATAATGATGCAGCAACCCGCTTGGTCAACTTGTAAAAATTCAGAGCCTTCTGTTATTTGCCCATAAAACAAATTTTGGAGTGTTATACAGTACGATTTCAAAACATTGTCATCGTAATGAAACAGCTATAATATTGAAAACAAACCACTTGAAACAATATCGGTGTACGAATTCAAATAAATATTTACAATAGATTTTAATGGTCAACTTGTTATCAAATTTTACGACCAATTTTTACATACATTTGTGAGTGCCGGTGTGTGATTGACATGCAAAGCAAGCATTAGCGGTTAGCTGTATAATATCTTTGAATATCATTTTAGACTGATTCATTCATATGCTTGGTCATCTTGTAATCATTTAGAATTCAACAGTTTTTACTAATAGAGTCCGTATCTTTACACTTCTAGACGTAGTATCAAATTTTAGTTGCCATAGACCCGGTTTCATACACACTCGCTAAGTAAATTTCAAAGGAAACTGTTTTCCCCATTTTTCATATTGTTTAGACAATTTGTAAAGATCGATTATGCCTTTTTATATATTATTGTAGGCCATAGGCCTAATGTGTGTGAAGTACTGACTTTGTTAATATCGAATGGGTGAAATTGCGCACAAACTTCAAACTCTTGGCCTAACATACAATGCCAGAGGAAATGATATCACGTTTTAGTCACCAAAAAGGATTTTTCACGGACGCACAGAGTAGGCCTTATAATAGTATGGCCCAAAGCGAACGAGTTTCTGGTCTCGAAAATCCAGACACTTCGTTAAGGCCTATACAGTACAAAATAATGTACAGTATATAATTCATTGAAAAAACTTTAAAATGAAGGACTTTAAAATGAAGTTTATGTATATAGGCAATAATAATATTTTGCGAATCTTGGGTTTTTAAAAGCAATCTTTTAGACCCAATCTTGGGAATTTTGATTTTCTTTAGTGTTCATGCTGCATTTAGAGACAGAATTGTACCCCGACGACATCAAACTAGTGTAGGCCTAGGCTTAAGTACAGTAGGACGTACTACTAGGCCTAGGATTTTGTTGTAAAAGTTGAAGTGCATGTACTAGGATGCGCCATAGGCCTATATTTAAAAAAAATACATTTTGTTAATTATTATTGGTTGGCCTGGGACCTAGGCAGACAGGCCAGCATTGCCGTCGAAAGTCCTGGGATTCGACGATAACGTCAGTGCACATGTTTACAAACGCCATTGATTGGAACATGGACCTTATTAATAGGTCCATGATTGGAATGAAAATAGACGCGCTGAATTTCGTTTGTTTTATGAACGACAGTATTTATCGAACATTTATCTATATAAAAACAAGATTAATATTGTAGAAATTATATTTCTAAAGATTCATATATAATTCATATTTCATTTGGTAGACAATAAATATTCAGTAAGATACTAAAAACGATTATTAATTCTGAAATGTGCATCAAATCTCAGCTATTATTAATCAGTATGTATTAGGTTAAAGTCTTAAAATAATAATTTAATTAAAGTTTAGGTTCCCATGATGTCAGATGACATATGGTATGATGCTATATTTTGGGCTCTGACTTAATTTAACGATGGCCCTGTCAGTTGTAGTAATGACAATATTTGTGCTTTTTTAGCCATGTAGTAAAAATAGTAGGGCCTAATATTATTTTCAGTGTACAAGATGAGAGTCAAAAAGAAGTTCAGCTCCTACTTTATTTTGTAACAGGCAGCTCTATTTGTTTATATAGGCTTACTGGAAGATTCATTATTTAAGTTAAAACAAGACAACACTTCTTAAATGTTTTATATATATAAAGAAGCACAGTACATAATTCTTTGTAAATTACTTTATAGGCCTATATAATAGCTTGTTTTGTTTTATAATAATAAATGTGTTGAGTATACTGATATTGATTATACGATGAGGTTTTTTTGTCTTTCGGTGTGATTTAAACATGCTAATTCTCAGAAAATATTTTCCAATTTTATTATATTACCACCTTTTATTACATAGATCTTTATCAAAACATAACTGCTTTTATAACATTATATAGACCCATTAAACACAAAAACTGCTCTGGCTTCGGGGGCTTCGCCCCCCCACCCCACCAGGGCCCTTAGGCAACCCCTGGACCCCACGCCCAGAGAACTCCCCTTGAAATGACCTGGCTACGGGCATGGCGTTTATGTGATTCCTGTCTCTGTTCTGATTGTTCAGTTGTTGAGATGGATTGTCACTAAAAAGGTGCATTAATAGACGCATAAGTAATACAGTTCTTATATATTAAAACTGCTGAGAGACAGTTTGAAATGGATTTTTTGTTTGTAATATTTATTGCACTCCAGTTTTAAAACTTTAAATTAAAAAATATAATAATAAACAAAATTAAGTGTAGGCCTACTGTAATAATGAAATGAGACGCAAAACAAGACGCAAACTTACCCTCATATACCTTAAGGTTAGCAGAAATATCTGTTGGTGTGTCACTATCGCGTCTAATCTGTACAGTGTAACTACCTGAAATTATAATATCGAGAATGACGTCATTCATTTTTAGAAACCTTAGAAGAGAGAGAGAAAAAAAAAACATGAACTTATAGTAACACTGCTTTTACATGGCTCGGCACAAGCAAGTAATTCAGTATAATCTTTGTCGTTTGTAAAAATTCATTTTACATAGAACTACAATTGCATAAATCACTTTTACCGTATAGTTTCGTAGTTTTGTTACCGGTATATAGTTTTCTAGTTTTAATATATATTTATAGTCTTGTTTCATTTTTGTGATATATTTACAACTCTGTTTAAAAGTTAAAGATAAGTTTTATTGTTGTATAGTTTTATTATTTTATTTGAATATTTTTATAATTTTATTATATATTGTTTAAATTGGTTATATTTTTATAGTTTTTGTTACGGTATATATTTCATAGTTTCTATATAGTATGTAATGTATTATACAGATGTATTATTGTGTTATACAATTACTGTACGCATGTAAATAGAATATTCATTATTAGTTGAATTATAAGTATTCTTACCAGCATCTAGGTTAGCCGTGCAATTTAGTGACGTCATTGAACTATGTTCGGTAACCTCTCCATTAAAAGTTCGACCGACGCTACTTGTGAAGATACAGGATAATGCTGATCCGGTAGTAAATCCGGCACCCTCAACTTGTAGCTAATAAAATAATACTCTAATTCAGTATGTGTTACTCGGCATAATGCTTTGTTCAAGTGTTAGGCCATTTAACACTTAAAAAATGTTACGTGATTTTGGGAATTCAGCGGAACAAACCGTTGTCATCGATAACGTGTAGCGATTTTATTGAAACCAATGCAAGTGTTTGATATTACACATTCGATTCATCACGCTATTATTACTGTACTATTATGATATTAATCCCCCAAAGTATTAATATACTGTTGGTGTTGAACAAATCAAATGAAGTTGGGCACACACGTTGGTCGACTAGGAAACCTAACGCCGGATGTCATCTGCAGATTTTTGATGGTGCAGTAGTTTGTTATTAAAAACAGTGTGAGTCTGACTTCCTATGTAATGCAGTAATAAGCCTTTTACACTTTCCGGTAATCAATATAAGAATGCTAATAGTGAAACAACTGCATTTATTGTACGTTACTGATAATTTTGTTATACAAACTTATTCCAATCTCAACTCATTTTCACCGTATAGTTGGCCTATTATTTTAAAGTAAGTTCTATATTGATTTACATATTTTGTTTAGCATATATGGGTCTGCTAAGCATTTATTGTTTTAAATATTATTCTACAAACATTATGTTATTCTGCTTAACGTTTAAAATCAACATTTTATTGTGTTGAGTTGGGGGGGGGGTCACAGAAAAGAGTATGTTTTGTTGTACTGTTGTAACGAAGTTTTCTCCTATCTCGTGCATCATACAAAGAATGATCCGTTAATGCTTACCGAGATATCTTGATTGGCAGGGATGAAATTGGGAAAGACGTTGCCGATCCCAACACAATCGGTTCCATCACCTCCACAAACACCGCAAGTATCATATTCTTTGCCACTGTAGATAATTTTTGTAACAGTCAATAATAATTATTACTATTGACGGTGGTTAATAAATGACATAAAAAAAAATTGTTTTACGACTGTCCTAATTCACAATAGCGTATCTCTGAGTATTGACATTAGCGGAGGGTTTTACAACTGTCCTAATTCACAATAGCGTATCTCTGAGTATTGACATTAGCGGAGGGTTTTACGACTGTCCTAATTCACAATAGCGTATCTCTGAGTATTGACATTAGCGGAGGGTTTTACGACTGTCCTAATTCACAATAGCGTATCTCTGAGTATTGACATTAGCGGAGGGGGAGGGGGAGGGTTCGATGAGGGGTTGAGAATAAAGGGGAGCGTAAAGAGAAGGTTCAATGATTTAGCATAGTTGCGTTAAGTTGGCAAAATATGAGGTGATTTTAAACTACTTGAGCATATTTTTTTAATCACTAAATTTCCATTTGGAAGGAGGGGTGAGGCACAATGTTTGTCGGCCCCTACCCACACTAAATCTCTTGTAGATACGCTACCTGAATTTTAATGTTGTGAATTTAACGATTTTTTTTATGTTTTTCGAATTGTCTAACTGTATTGCCAAAATGAATGAATTATAATAACAATAAATTCGATCAGATTATAATGCAATTGAAATACAGTAAAAGAAAATGTGTTTACCTAGATGGTGTATATAAAAATACTGTTATTATTTGTTATTAATACTTATATGATTATAATAATGATAAATATGATAATTATGGTAAAATATAATATAATAATAATACTGATGCTAATGCTGATATTGATGATAATGTTGATAATAATTATACTGATTATTGCTAGTTATATAGGCCTATAAAAATAGTCACCTGCTCCTACCTGTTTAATACCCCGTCGCATCCTTCGCAAGAAGAGGTATCAGCGTACGAGGCGCTTACACACTGACCACACTCGTTGAAACCATGGTTGCCTTCGAGGCCGGTTTGTCCTCCTACACATTCCCCACACTTGTTCTCAAAAGCTATACTCATGCCTAGGAGGTCAAGGAAATTTTGATAATAAATGTATATTTTTCAAGAAAGATATGATGATGATGATGGTGGTGGTGGTGGTGGCAATGGTGACAACGAAGATGGTGATGATGACGACGATGGTGATGATAATGATAATCATGTTGATGGTGATGACAACGAAACTGATTATTATGACGACGACGGAGACAGGGCGACGAATATAATGTAAACTTGTAAAGTAATGCACTTCACATTATTATTAAATTCATCTATTCCCTAACATTTGTATATATTAAAGTACGTCTTTACGGGTAGGTAATATAAATAAACGAGGATATAAGGCAATTAGTGATTCAGGGGGCAGCGAAAGTGTTGTTAGCGTCACCTCCCTAGGCAGCATCTAATAAGTGTGAAACAATTTTTAAAACAGATTAAACTGGTTAACATTCTGAAGCGTCCGGGTACATTAGGGTGGTGCAAGTGGAAGTTCGGGTGAGGAGAGCTGGTCCCTTTGTCAGAGAGAGAGGAAAAACATTTTTTTGGGAGATACAGATTGTCAGACTCTACAACCGTTTAAATAACTCTTTCAAATCTGGAGATTTCACCCCCTCCGTCCACACTGACCACGCCACACTTACGCTCTCGTCGGGGACATTGGTTCTCATCGAGGACATCAGCCCTACCCCCAATCGCTAGGACATTGGCTTCCTTCGGGCGAATCTTGCCGCCATCACTGAGTCAAAGCCTCGTGAACTTTCATAATAGGTTTTTAGAGAACACCCCAATCACCCCTCCCCCTTGAATTATAGTTCTCGCTCCATCGCACAGGTCTTCGATTGCCACCTGTTACTGTAAAGGTAGAACACCAAGTCTAATAACACGAAAGCACGATGAACTTTGCAAAGACCTTTGCATCGCAACTCATTTAGAGAATATTCCAGGGAAGGGGCCAGCATGGAACGGGGGGCAAAGGCCAGGGCCCCCACGTCGAAGAGAGCTTCTCCCCCCCCTCACCCACCTCTACAAAAAAATCACAAATCGAAAAAAAAAAAAAATTATATGTTGCCTATTTTCCACATATTATCTAAAACAAGCCTTTGAAACCCCTATTGTAAAAATTTTCGGGGTTTCTCCCCCTGGACCACTTTCGGAATATTTTGAGAGGCGCCCGACTAAACGCTCTTTTCTCTCGTTAGGGACATCCATCAGGGATTTAGGAATATTACCTTTCTTTTTATCAAATAATTACTCTTACGTCGTTGTTCAGCAGTCGGTAATAATGTTAATCATTCTACTTACCTGGCGTAATACATGTTAGCGAGCAGTCCATGTATTTGCTTCCGCCAGGGTAGGTAACACCTGCCCTCGGTGGCGGTCCACATAAGCCGCATGAGTCTTCTATCCAATCTCCGTCGCAGACTTCATTGCAGTCAAGACGATGCCGGTTTTTGCTTATTGATTCCCCAGACTCGCCACCTATTTATGTGAATAAAGACACATATATTATTAACATAATTTTAATTTAGTATTAGGGCTTATTGTTATTAATACCACGGAGAAAGTGGCGTCTCTTCGTCGTGAGGGGATAGTGATTAATAATAATAATAATAATGTCATTTTGTTAGGCGCACGTATCCATCCCTAGTAGGGGTGCTCGCGGCGCCGTTTTCCACCTGCCGAGTGTACATGTAGCCATTTTCTGCATTATTATGTGAATTAATTAATTTAATTATTTATTTAATCATTAACGTATATTTATTTGTGTCGGACCAGACAGGATGGGAAAGATAGGCAAAATAAGATGCAACTACTCTTCGAGGTCACCATCCATCACCACCCTGGCGCAATCCCGGACCTCTGCCTAGGTGGCTCGAACAAAGGAACGGGAAACACATTTGCCCTGCCACAGACGACCGGGTGCTCAGGAGTTGTAATCGAGAGAGTGGCCCCAAAAAATAAATGCGGCCTGTGAGAGACGGGGAAAAGCAGTTATTGAGTTGATTCAAAGTATGAAATAAAAAGAAAAGATTTAAGTTCAGACTTGAATTCAGAGAGTGAAGACGAATTTCGAACGTCGAATGGGAGCTAGTTCCAGATTAGTA